TCACCTTGGTCGCGGAACACCCTGCGTCTCATGCTTCATTGAATTTCCACCCCAGACGCTAGCGCTAGTCTCCCTTATCCATCGAAGCTTCTGTTGTATCATACTAAGACGTGAGATCGACCGCATTGAAAGTGGTGGGGCTACTATAATTTTTTGGTAAGTCAATCTTTTAAGCATTTTCATTCCAAAGCACATGCTGATAGAACACATACATATCCACTTTTTGCACAATATGAGCTGGAGTTTCATAAATACAGATTGTCACAAAGTAACTCTAAAGTCATTGACTTTGTAATTTGGCTCTTCCACTGATTGTACTCTGCAGGTGCATCCGATAAACTAATTCGTTTAGAAGTATTAACTCGCACATGAATTGGCAAGTTAAGCAACTTTCAATAGCAACTGGCTGGGAGAGGCCTCTTATTCTCAGGTAGAGAGTGGATGTAACATCCCAAGGGTGAAGAATCAAACAAATGAATAGGAGAGAAGACGAAGTGAAGATTCAGGTAAATGAAGAGCTGAAGAAAAAGAATCGAGAAGCTCGGGAAGGCGAAGAAGCAATAAGGTCGGGAAACCAAATAGGTAAAATCGCCTATAAATTTTTCTTGAGGTAAGAACTTGCCAAGAGAGTCGAATGGCAGCGTCGAGGGTTGCATTACTAGGATTGAGCTGTGGAGTTGATAGAGAGAAGTCGAAGGAGGCGGCGCCATTGTCGTGCAGAGGAGGAGAGTGTGGAAGTTCCTGCGCATTCAAAGAAAGAGAAAGGGGAAAATGTAGCGCCTACGTCTATGTCAAGTCGCAATCGGAGTAAAAAAGGGCGCTACAGAGGAGCTCTCATGCATGTGATTTAGCTCTCAGGAAGAAGCTCATGCGCAAAGGATCAAGGCTCAATAAGGCTTGATGAGGTAAGCTTTAATAAAATTAAAGTTAATTTGTTTAATAATAAAATTAATAGTAATAATAATAATAATAATAATAATAATAATAATAATAAACACACACACACACACACACACAAATATATATAATAGAAAATTTAAGCGGAAATATATAAAACAAAATAATGAATATTCTAAGCTAATTAAAATAATTTATATATAATTGTATGATTCATTTTATTATTCTCATCATTAGGAAAAGAGCTCAAAATATGTTGAAATTTCAAAAGGAATATTTGCACAAAAACCTCCATAGTTTAATTTACGCAAATTACACCATCATGATATAATTATATGATTCTTTTTATTATCCCCATCATAAGGAAAAAAAGCCCAAAATGTGTTGAAATTTCAAAAGGAGTATTTACACAAGGACCTCCATAATTTAATTTGCACAAATTACACCATAATGAAAAAAACGCCTAAGGTTATTATTTTATGGTTGAGAGCTTAGTGTTAAGAGTTAAATCGTCTAGTTATAGTTTGTAATGATTATTCCTAACAAAAAGAAAAGGGGCCTCAAAGTATGCATGGGATCCTTAAGCTTAAGATATTTTTATTTGATGTAATTTGGTAAAAATATCACAACAAAAACATGTTTTCTTGTCTTGGTGAAAGGCCTCTTCATATCAACGAAATTCAATATTTACCCCACTAAAGTGTATCCAAGAAAACTGCATGCATGGCATGATCTAAATAATCTTGCTTGCATTGCATGTTCTAGATAATCAACAAAATCTTTTTCATTCAATCATGTGAACTCCGTCAATGCATATAGAGATTAGGCATTGTAAAGTATAAGAATATGAAAATTATGAACTCAACCATTTGCGTGTAGATATTTTGATCGTGAATAATGAAATTATAGGTCTTTTCCACCCTACATTCATATGTAGAGGAGTGGGCTTCGAACAACTTAAGCTTGTCAATGACATACTTTTCATATGTTGAGAATAGGAAAGAATCTTGATTACACTACGATTGAAATGATGTGAAGCATTGACGATAAAATAAAGTATACATACCGACCAAGTAGTATACAAAACTGAGTTCGTTTATTGATCTCACAAGAAACAAGTGAACTCCCAATATTTGGAATAGTTCTAGTTTATTGGTTTTGAGTTTAGCTCAAATGTTCAAAATTTGGAGATTTAAATGTTTTTAATCCTAATTTTCTAACTACTTTGACGTGAATCGATGTAAAATGAATCCTTCGAATAGAAATCCCACTCTTACAGATGCCCAAGCGCTCTGAACTGGTGCCTAGACCATTGGATACAGGCTCTTGGGCGACCAAAACTAGTGTATATGTACTTGGTCCACTAGTTCCAGGCACCCAAGCGCCTAGTCTTATGGTTCCATGTTACCAGAACAAGCACCTAGGAAGCCAAAACTAGTGTCAGGGTGTCGGGTCAGACTGTTTTGAGTCATTTAACTCTCCAAGATGTTTAATCACTTGTACATTGCATATAAAATCATAAATACCTGGGAAAAACATAAAAATGACAAATAATATAAAAATAACAAAGAAATATCTTGCACATTTGATACATATCAAGCTTTGAAATACACCAATTGTATAACGGGCTATTTGGTTCTAAGTATGATATGGTTTAAATAGGATTTAGTAAATCCTCTAAATCCGAATTTATCAAATTTTGAGATGGTTAGATGATGAAATTTGTTTGGTATGTTAGTAAGTAAATCATGAGAAACTGTTTAACAGCTTAAATGAATTTATAAGGATTTATTGAACAGCAAAGATAAACATTAAACAAAAAGTATAAATAAGTATTCAAAGCCTCAAAATATATAAAAAAATGAACTTACACTAATTAATAAAAAGATATATAAATTAATAATTATTTTTTAAGCTAAAAAATTACTAATCCATTACTATTTATATAAATTAAAATTTATTTAGAATTCTATTAATTAATTTAAAATTTAAAATATAATTTTATTTATTAATTAACTATTTAATAATTATATATAAATTTATCAAATTATAATTAATTTGATAATATATAAATTATTTAGTAATTATTAATCAATTCCATATTCATATTCCCCTCTCAATCTGAAACCCTCACCGATAACCTCCCCCTCTCTCAATTTCGCCCAAATTTCCCATCTCTGCCCAAAATCCTCCATATGTCACTCTCCCCCCACATGTTCCTCCCAAAACCATCGCCTTCGTGAACAAACCTGCACAATACAGTCACCATTAGAGATAGCTGGGAAGGAAACGACCCAACGAAGAGACTTCATCGAAATGCATGCACATGAAGATTATTTTTCATGGCGCAGCGAAGAGACTTCGAATTTTCAATACATGAATAGATGATTGGATGGTGCAATTAAGATTTTTAATTTTGTATATTTTCACTAACTATAATAGAATCATTTAAAATAATCAATATAGACAATAACAAAAAAAATTTAAATTAACTGAAAAAAAAAATAATTAAATATAAAGTTATCTTTCTCTATGTTGGCCATGTCTCCTACATACAATATCCATTCTCTCTCTATCACCTGAAATTTGTTAGTTTAAAAATAATGAGTTACGAATAACTTGGTGAATACTCATACCTCTAAATTATGGTAACATAACAAAAAATGGAAACAATATATATGCTAATCCAATATAGATAGTCACACGCAAACAAACTATATAAATTATTTTATTTATATTCTGCATATCATTTTATATCATTTAGCTTAGTACGATGTTGTTGTTCGTTTTAGCTCAAGCCCTCTCTTGCATGCATGTTTGCCCTCCATCTTCGGCACCCACTCAATTCATCTTCCTCCTAGGTGTGCTTTCTCCGGCTCACAATTCACACAATGATCAATCCCTCCATTTCTACTTACATTCACACATTCAGTCCTCTGCTCAAGCCTGATTTCTGCACTCAAGATTTTACGTATAAGTGTTTGCTCGATCCCCCATTGACTTCATTTACCTCTTTACTCCCATCTCCTCTTATAATAGCAAACTAACCCCCCTGCTCGCTTCAATTTCCAATTCAACGCTTCCCTTTCATTTTTGTTTTCTTCTCGCTTGAAGACAACAAATAAACTCATTTTGCTTTAGTTGAACCGTAATTAATCAGTTCGATCTCTCACTTTTTTTAATCAAGTGTTACAATCTTCCACATTTATAAAACCTATCATCAAAATTTGTATATGATAGCTATGTTTATGATTATATGATCTATTCTAAGTTCCCTGAATTTTATATTAAGTTTTCAGCTATTTGAGCCTAATGGCTGTGTTGATATGATTATGTAACATAATTCTAAACACCACTCTCCGATACCACTTTTGTCACAACTCGGCCAACCTGTATGATCAGTCAATTTCACTTGTTGGCAGTCAGTCCATATTAAGGTTTGTGAAATCCAACTTTGCTTGTCCTGCTCGACCCCAAGGATAAAAAGCTGGATTTTTTTATTTTTGCATTTTAAGTTAGTCTTATCAAAACTTCGTAAACCTAAAATCCTATTTCTATTAAAATCATTAACAAGCTAAGAACATCAGCTGGTAGATCTTGTGCATCATGCTCATATGCTTAGAAAATGATTCTTAACGCTTGGAATTGCAGATCACCTTTCATGATGTAAAATTTTAAAAGCATTTTATATCACTTGAAATCGTAACTTTTTGTGGTTGGATCAACAGTCTTTACAGGCAATATGGCCTCAAATCAGCATTCATGCTTGGGCCAAAAGACTGAGCTGGTTTCAATTCATATCTGATGTGTGAGACTAAAAATAAATAAAATATGCTGTCTTGTAGAAGAATCTCACAGAGATATTGAAGCATGCATACAAACAAATTCAACAATGTTACAAATTTTTAGGAAGATTTCAAATAAATTACTTTCCATGCAATGCAGAAGAAAAAAAAGCATGAAGATTTCCATATTTATTAACTACAAAACGATTATAACAGATATCAAAATTTCAAATTTTATAAAAGGGGAAATGAAACCATCCGGCCTGTGGTTTCTCGATTTTCTAAAAAATTAGAAGAACACTGAAATAAAGCACTCACTTTGAGATATTCTTCTGTATCTCCAGCTGCTCGTTGGATATTTACCATAAAAATTGATGGAGCAACCTGAAAAATCTGCATCAATTTCAAATGATTCAGAAGACCATAGAAGCAATGTGGATGTGGAAAAATTAACACAGTAAGATCGACTACCACAACATTTGTTGGATAAAGGCGTACATTTGACTTCAATAGCATGGTTAATTAATATTTGGTATTTTTAGTGGATAATGTAATAAAGAATAAGTGATTCATTTTATCAGCTTGGGGTTATCCATGTTTAGAAAATATTTATTTATTCAGAAGAATCCGATAACTCTTCAATACCTCTTGATGGGTAATGGGATATTTTTTTACAGAATAATTAAAGATGATTACAAACACAACAATAAATTAAAAAAAAAAACTCTAAAAAAAACTCCAAATAAATTTAAAACAAAATCATATATTTCCCTAACAATCAATCAACTAATAAATTAAAGAATAATAAATAATACCATTGTTGATACCAAACATGATTTCTAATCACAATGTAGGATTTAGCATAATTAATAAAGGAGCTCACTTCTAGCATAACTGAAAAATGGGAACTTCTGTCTGCAGATAGACCTTCAACCCGCATCTGTGCACCAAAGCCAACATCATGGTTTGTGGGAAAGAAAAAAGTATTCTTGTTGGGAATTAAATGAATAGAATTGAAAAAACATTCTCATTTAACCCAATTAAAGCTCCATCAAATTCAACGTCAATGGTCACAGCAATTACCTTGTAATTGCGAATATGAGTCTTCAAGCCCATTGACTGTGCCACAACTTCGATGCTTGACAAAAGAACTTTAGCAGGTTTTTGTGAAACAAATCTAGTCTGATGTTTAACATTATCCTAACATAGGACAATCAAATGTGGTGAATAAAATGAAAGACTAAGATGCGGAAAATTGCTAGAATGCATATAAGTTTGAATGTTTAATAAAATGATCATCAAATACAAGATAAAAGATTAAATTCCATCACTAAAGGCACTTCAAGAAAGCTACAACAGTCGGTCATTAACTAATCCCCATGCTCCACCCATTGTCATTTCATACTGCATGAGGCGATTACACTCTGTGCAAATCATATTTCACAATTTCTAGAATTGTTATCTTTACTTTACCCCTTTTTCCTCATCTTCCCACGTCAACTCTATTGACATGCCCCATTAGTGCACCTTCAGCACCCCCCCACCACCACTCCCACCCTACCCCAAAAACCCCCGGTTGTAAATGTAAAACCCCGATAATTTTGGTGCTTTTACATAGTGTAGGTAAGTGTCAATCCGTATGCTTGATTAGAAAGGAATTTATTTTCTTTCTATATTTCACTAATTTTGCTCCCTTTTAACACATATTTTCTTTTTTCTTATTTGGCGGGATTCTTAATTTAAAAGGATTCTAGTCTCATATTTTGTCGACATGCATATCAACCACATTATTATAAACATGTAGTAAATGTAATGCATCAGGGTAGAGCAAGAAATAAAAATCTTTTCTAAATTTTTTCATGATATCAGAGCTACAGTGCTTCTCTCCCATAGCGATTCTCGTTGCCTAAGAATTGATTCATCTCTCTAGTACCTACAGATAGCAGCAACGAATGATAACAGATCTTGGTCTCTTCCATTCTTTTTCAGAGCCATGGTGATTCTCTCCCCTAGCGAGTCTCGTTGCCTGAGAATATAGTAACATTCGTCCCTTCTGTTTTGCAGCAGAAGCCGTCGTTCAAACAATTGCTTGTCTCTCTCGTACATACGAGTAGCAGCAAAGAATGATACATGAGTTAACCCAAACAGCGAAAGAACGAAAATATTTATTGTTAAATTCATAAATTACGATGACTCCTCAACATAAAACAACACAATTGCAAACGGTTAAATGGCAATGAAAACACCTCAAAATAAGAGCAAAAAGAGCACAAAATACATAAACGACTCTCTAGGGGAAGACAGCAGGTCTGGAAGGGAAGGAAAATAGCAGCAGGAGCAGTAGTGCTGCAAGAATAAGGAGGGGCTAGTAGGCTGCTAAAAGAGGGTTGGAAGCAGCGGCGGTAGGCCTAGAGGGAGCAAAAAGTGGTGTTGACTAGCTTGAAGGGGTCTGATAGCAGGCAATGGCGGCGCTGTAGAGAGTAGGAGTGGTGACCGCTTGTTGGGAGGGGGCTAGCAACAGGTGGCTGCGGCGCTAGAGGGAGCAGTAGTGGTTGTTGTCTGCTGGAAGAGGACTGATAGCAGGTGGCTGCAGCACTGCAGGGGGCAGCAGGTGTAGGCAGTCTGCCTAGCAGGTGTATGAGGGACAGTGGCCAACCGGAAGGGAGTAGAAGAGGCGGCCTGCTAAAAGGGAGCTGGAGGAAGTCGGCGGTAACAGTACTGATAATAGAGAGGT